AATTCTGCTATTTCAAGCTAGAGATGACCTCTTCTGAGGCTTGAGAGACCTTACAAGACTGTTACCTATCTCTATACTATGTTTCCTTGGCCTCAGAGCTGCCACTCAACAGTCATGGTCTCACAAGCAGGTGTATTTTAGCTGCGACCTTCACTGTAAAAGAAAGTCACTTTAAAATTAAAGGATCATTTAACAGTCCATAGGATCAATATAAAACAGTAAGAAAAGGTGTAATAAATAACAAAGGACTAGATGCTTAAATATTTAACCTCACTTCCTTACCTATCTTCTACAACCTCATACTTATCAAGGCAAGGGGAGGTGGGCTGGGATCAGGCAACCCTGTCTTGAAGTGACTTTCCCTCTCTTTTCCTGAGCCTGTTTCTCTGAGTTTACCAACCCGATTACTTTCTTACTTAAATAAAATTAAATAAAAATTAAGTAATTATTCAAAAGAAACAATAATGATTTAAAACTTAAATCAAACATTCTGGTTTGATACCCTGACATAGTTTATATAAAGGCATAAATAGGCACATTTCTTTACTACTCTCTGATCAAATACTGCAGATGTAATGTAGTTATGCTTTAAAGATGGTGTAATAAAATAATTGATCTCAAAGTTACAAAATTTCTCTATTTCTACAGAAGTTAAGGTCAGCTGTAGAAAATAGAGCCTTCCAGCACTCTAAGGCAATTTCCTCTACCAATTTCCCACCTTCCACAAGGAAAAAAAAAAAAAAAAAAAAGAAATCAATCTAGATGGCAGAGGAAGGACCACATCTTCTAGAATTCAGTCAATAAATATCTGGACAACACCAACTGTCAAAAGGCAGGAGATCAAAGGTGCATTTCTGAAATAAATTTTGATACAAAAATGATTATAGCTGTGAGGAATTGTTATCTATTTCTGCTAGATGTGATAAAGTGAAATTTTATTCAGACTGATGCAGAAAAAATGATGGCCTTAGATATACAGAAAAACAAACTTCCTCTTTATTTTGCTCTTTTTCCTCCCAGTTGCATATTTAACTTGTGTAAGCAAATTCATCACAGTTTTTATTACTCAAAGATAAACCTCTGTAGTTTCTAGTTATTAATGATTGTTTCCTTATTTCTCAGTAGAAATAAAACTTTTGATACAATACTTTATTCTATATCTCAGCACCTCTCTATCTGCAGTTTTTGATATTTTATCTACCTGTATACTATAACCCCATTTTCCCTTATGTCTGCACAGATCATGATTATTCAGAGTTGTCACTATGTCACTATTTTTCATTGTTGTCACTATGGCACTCAAATCTAAGGAGTGTCTGGAAGTAATTTGAGTATTCAGCTCATCCCAAAGCATTATGGATATTCCCTGGACTTCCAGCTTGCCACAGGATGTAAAAATGCATTTGGCTCTTTACATCTCATCAGGTCTCTCTTGTTGCCTACATACTGTTGCATAAAACAGTATCTTTTATTTTGATGTTTGGTTTTCCCATAAGTAGAGAAGGAAGTAGAATATATGAAATGTCTTTTCATTTGAATTTTCCTGTTTTATCTAATAGACAAGAAAATTCACCTGTCTTTCTCCTTGTCATTTAAGTTTCTTTTCTCCAATTCATAGGCTTTGTATATCCAATCAGGGAATTACCATTCAAGCTATAATAAAAAGTCTTGTCTAAATTTTTCTTTAAACCCCCCCAAGCAAGTTATGATCTGTTTTTAATTAGCACCCAAAAGCTGTTTTTTCTTTATATTTGATTATACTACCTTTGCCTCATCTATGCTTTTGTGCCTTCTCAGCTTACTTTACCTGAGGCAATACTTCTAATTTTTCTCATTACAGCTGTTACCTTCACAGCAGCAATATTAATAAAATACCTTACACTTCCTCGTGTACTGCATCAAAGATCATCATATCTTTTAACTGGTAATTTGTTCTCTATGTCTTGTGTCCTTTTTCCCTAAGGAACAGTATTTTGAAGAGCCTGAGACTGCTGCATAATTAGATTATACAAAGCATCCGCTATCCTATCTCTCAATAAGACAGGAAGACTTTAAGATTAAATTTCTTTCATACATTCTCCCTGTAGAGGATTAATTATATTTCTTTTGTTTGGTCTCATTAAAGTTCAATTTCTTCTGCATCCCTAACACATTTCATACGGATTCTCCTTATCTACTTTTTCAAAGCCTAGTCATCTTCTCCATTCTTATAAATATGTCTTGATGTAATGGCATATTTAAGTTCCATCTGCACCTCCCTTGAACAAAATCCACAATAGAGTAACGTATGTTGATGATATATTCCTTATGAAAATAAATGGACCTCACTCTGTTCTTTCTAATAAATATATCACTTGTCAAAATACCTTCCTCAATGACATAATGTTTTCTTTTGTATTCCTTTGTTAGGAAATTTCTTATGCTCCTATCTTGCATCTTTTTGCACCAAGCAAAACAATCCCTTTACAGATGGGCAATAAACTGATAGGAAGCGTCACAGAAAATGGTGTTTCTTCTGAGAACCATTTATCTCCTCATGGGAGTAATCCGTTTCTGTCATTTTGTCCATTCAGATTATTCTAAAACGAATGGTATTTTTTTAATGTAGTTCTAACAGTGTTAATAGTCACATTCATGCTGCTGTGTCCCCCAGTATTTCCCTCAGCTTTACATTTTTATGAGCAGTCAATACTCCAACAAACCAGTGTATTTACAATAAAAATCACTCCCTTCTGCATTCTCCAATATGACTCTCTATATTGAAAGAAGTCATTACACCTCCTCCCAATACTCAGTGAAAAAAGTCTCTATGCCACCCTTCAAGTGGTCATGCCTTTGCTTTTTGTGAGTAAGCAGAGGGTTGCTATATTAGAAGTGTGTGTGTCTGTATGTATCTACAAATACCCTCTCCAAAATCTTAAATACCCTATCCAAAAACTGGGTGCCTCAATTAAATAGGAGGACTCTACAAAATGTCATAAGAAGCATCAAATTTACTAATGTAACAAAGTCACATTTACTTTTTAATAATTAAAAGAGGAAACTACCAATACTCAGGTAAATTTCAAGTAAAACTACATGCAAAAAATGGTATATGAGATTGTTTTTGGAAAGCATCTGTCATGATGTGTGTGAACTGACAACATGTATTTTGACATTTCTTAATTTCTACAGAGGTGTCTGCACAGCCTTAATAAGGTTCTTACTGCATTGTTCTTAACTTCCTTGACCCTTTGAAAAGACACATGCCCAAATCCAGATGCATAAACCAGTTAAAGTTCAGCAAAGCTGTAAGGAACAGAACACTGGGACTGCTGGAGATAGTAATTTTACCCAAACCACAGGGAATTAAGGAGATAGATTTTTTTGTGTGTGTATGAAAATGCATAGTAATCGATATAAAGATTTGTAAGTGATAAGTAAATGTGAAATGTATTACTGCAAAAAACAAATTCCCAAGCTAAAAATCCAACTTCTACTTAGGAAAATCACATTATATCACCATTTCAATGAAGTCTTAGATTTTTACAGAAGGCCAAACTGAGGCAAAGGTAGCTCAACTGACCTAATTTGTTTACATTGTCAGAAAATACATTATTTCCAAGTCCTATTCTGCAGTGAAAATGCACCACTTTTTCCTAATGTATATGTGCCTTAGAAATATATACTTGTAATGTCTAACTACATACATGTATGCTACATATATAACATACAGACTCATATATACATATATATTATGTACAATATATCATCATGGATAGAGTATTGTGGCTATGGAAAAGCTGCAGCAGCATGGATATTTTCTTCTCCTATAGCAAATTTACTAAAATACAAAGCAATTGTTACTGCTGGATAATTAGATAACACTCTAATTGTAAGACATTATGTTTTTTTTTAAGTGAGGTATCCGTTGAAATATTTTATGTAAAGGAAAAACAATGAGTAAAGATCACTCTGGGGTATTCCAGAAATGTAAAATATTTCATTCAATATCTTAAAATTATACTCCACTTAGGGATATTTAAAAGCTAAGTATGGTATAAATACTGATATTCCCATAACCAATAATGTAAGTAATTTATTAACTTAACATTATAACTGAATTGCTTGTTACTGAACTGTAACATAGTTCTAAGAGTTAGTTTAAAAATAAGCAGCATGACCATCACTTTAAAAAGAAATATAAATTAAAAATACTCTCCCTGTTCTTACTGTATGTGTGTTTAAGTCTGTCATGTGGCAATAAAGAAACAGGATATAGAACTGTTGGTTTTAATTTGTCTCATTATGAATAGCCCTGTGAAATACGCATACTTCAGACATTTCACTGCTATTCAATTTGCATTCAAGAGGCTAGAGTTGCTAGAGTTTGGCTTATCTTCAGCATGTCTACCAGATCAATAAGGTCCTGTTTTTTTGCAGCTCTTGATGTAAAAAAAAAAAAAAAAAAAAAAAGCTCTGGAAACTGTGGAAAAGGAAGTTCTTTCCCTACCAGAGCTTCTTCAGGCCATTTCAATGTTGCTTTCAAGATGCTGCAACCAATCCTCCGTGCTGACTTCTGTACTTCATTTTTGGCTCTGATCTCTCTTTTTAATTACACTCCCCAGGTCAGATTATTCCTTTCCTCTCATACTCTCTACACTTGCTCCATAGCTATGGCACATCTAGCCCTATGGGCCTCTACTCAACATTTAAGTTTATATGCTACTTTTTAATGTTAATGGCAGACTCATGAAAATCGTTCACCACAATGTTCAAAGACACCTGATATTAAAGCCATCTGCAGACCTAGGTAAGTAAAAAGATGGGTTATCATATATATAATTTTCTAAGCCAAAATAGAAAGCTATCAGGCTGCCTTTATTTCCATTAAAGCAGTTCAGAATTTGCAATCATTTGGCTTCCTGACTTTTACAAGTAAATCTGGAGAAAAATGAATAAAAGTGATGCAGAGAGACAGATCAAGGAGAATGATCAGAGAGTAAGAAGAAAGGACTCACCTCCTTCAGTCAGTTTTCCATTTTATTTTGTTTCAATAGTTAGAGGGAAGAGATTTTTTGCACACTCCTTAATTCAGATTCCAGCTCCAATATTTGATGCTTGACTGTTCTGAAACACAAGGTGTATCAGTTAAAACTATTAGCCTGAAACAAGATAAAATTAACATGCAAGCAGCTACACAACAATATATGAACAGTCCATAGCAAAATTTTCACATGGTACCACACTCTCCTCCTTGCAAGTAAAAAGCACAAAAAAGAGAATATTTAGACTGTATAATGCTGCATTTGTGGTGTTATCTCCCATGTTTTATTCTCCCTGCACAATGCATGAAGAGTTTGTTGGTTCTGTTACAGAGATATAAAGACTAGTTACATGTGATTGCCTCAGTAAACCTACTGACTCTCCACAAGCTCACCTATCCCCCAGTCTCAACCTTCTACAACCTCATCTCACACTACATAAGCACAATGGAGTCCTGCTGCCTCTGGCTAGAAAATCAGAGGAGAACAGTGAGAAAACTTGACCAACCACCCAGCTGTATACACAGCACATCCCTACCAGGATTCAATGGGTGGCGGACAAAACTGCAATGGCAAATCACTGCACATTTAAATATATCATTTTTTTAAATAATATAAACTGCAAATACTTCTTTCCAAGCCATTTTCTTTCTCTGGTATGGAAAATGAGATATATGTTTTTCCCTTCTTAGTTCTCCAGTACTACTTACTGTGAGTAACAGAAATAAATGATTTTCCTCTGTGCTCTATATTTGAGCTCTGTGAGTCATCTCACTATTTCAAGTTTTGTTTCCCATCACTTAAAGGTCTAGCCTATTTTATTCTTTTTTTTTTTTTTTTTTTATTTGTAAGTACAAGCCACAATAAGTGCAGACATTTTTTCTTGTAAATGCAGTTAACTGCTCCAATCAAACTTTTACTAAAAAGCATAGTAAGAGAAAAAATGTATGGCAAAGTGTGCTTTGATACTAGCCTCAGACTATACTGAAGTACAATCAGTACAACATTTTTTTAAGTGCCGAAAACTCCTGTTATTTTACTCTCTTGATGTTTATTCAAAGAAACACTATTGACCACTAGTTGTCACAAAAAGCAAAACCTTTCAGAGTAAAGACAACTTGTGTGCATGTATTACAAACCATTATTTATAAAGCCAGAAGAGACTAACAAGGTCAGAGCCTGATGTCCCACTTCCCATAAGCTAGAAAACTTTCTGAAATAAACTCCTTTGGAAATGGCATGCACATCTTACTCAAGCATCAAGCTCTGGATTGAGCTTAGTGGTCAATGAGTGGTTCTTCCAAAGAACCACTAAGAGGACAAGAACAGTCTCTATATGCAAGACAAGTTTATTTCTAGGAATTCCTTAACCTCAAAGGCAGTCAAATTGATAAAGGCTGCAGCCTGCCTTTTGTTACTCTCTTTTTAATTACTATGAGACCCCTTTCCAAGAGAAACTAAATTCTGACACTGGTTCAGAGTGTCTGAAATTAATGCCAGAATAGAAACACATTCTGCTAGTACTCCAATGGCAGCACTTTGTGTACAGCTGTCACTAAGGGTCTGCCTCTCCCCTGAGGTATATAACCAACCATCATTAGTGTATTTCTTCTTAAGTCTAAAACTAAATTTCCTATTCTCTCTGTACAGTTGGTCTTTAAATAATTTTGCTTCCTTGGTTGTGCAGGTTTTTGTGTCAGAAGGGGGAGAAAAATATGTTTAAAGCAGGAAAATGTGATGGTAAACCCATCAGATTGGCAGTGGGATCAAAATGAGGTACAGAACTATAAATTACTTTTAAATAATTTCAGAAAGGCATAGATTTCCAGTTGACAGGATCTCTTTTGAGAGCGCCTTTAATTTGATTACAATATTAACTACATCATAACCATTTCAGATTTTCTATAAGACTATAAAATTGACAGAGTATATTTAATTGTAACAAGTAAACTGGATTGATTTTTCCATATAAGATCTCCTCAGGGAGCTTTCAAAGATAAATCTCTAAAGGATCAAACTGGGCAGGTCTTTATGCAGAGCCTTCAGTTGTAAGGACTTCTCTGAACCCACTGAAACTCCCATGCTTGAAAATCTGCTTGAGAACCTTGCTGAAGCTGGGCTCAGGTGGGTTTCTCTTAGCTGATAGAATTCACTTGGATAAGAAAAAATGTTGATTTTTAGACTGATACATTCACAGCACTTTGAATGATGTTTAACTGAAGTACAGAAGTACAAACTGTAGAGTACTTGATCCCTTTTGATTAGTTTTAGGTTGCTTTTTCATGAAATAAGAGGACATTATGAATTGACTTTTTACTCAACAGACTGATCTGAAACTGCTTCATAGCCTGCATTTGCCACCATAGCAGGAATCATACTTATCTTAAACACCCCCCCCCACCACCACCTAGGTTCTGGCTCAGTTTTAGCACACAACAGTGACTTAAATTACCTGGGTATTATATGGCGGATGATTTACAAAAAGCAGAGTCTCCTAGAAGCTGTTTCTGGTGTCAAATAGTAACTTAACCTCCACTATGTGGTTCTAGCTAGATTATTCAGAAAGACACCTGGAACAGGTACAATGAAGAACAGGAACAAAGAATAACCTGGAACAGGTGCTCAGGGAGGCTGTGGCATCTTCATCTGGGAGACTGAACACTCAGTTCAACAAGATATTAAGGAACTTGATGCAAGTCTGACATTAGCCCTGCTTGAGCAAAGGCTTCTACTAGATGACCACCTACAATTCTTTTTATGTAAATTATTGTGCAATTCTGTAATTCTATGAAATAAACTCTAATCATGTCTGTACCAATCCTGTGCAGAACACAAAATTCACAGTGCGACCGTTATCATTAAACTAAATTTCAGTGCAAAAATGAAGGGCAGGTCTTCAAGTGGCTTGTTACATAGTAAGCTACTTGATTTCTCTTCTATATGATGCATCTTTACATTCCTGGGATTCTGCTATCATGTGTCATTTTTAGTTAAAAAAGATATATTGTAAAGGGGATGGATCAAATTTTTACCTGATTTTTTTCTTTCCCATGTTTTTTTCCCCACTTCTCATATTTCCATAATTCCTAGTGAAAGTGCATGACTATTCATTTTTCTGTAAGCAATATCAGGATACCAACCTCCTTTAACAGCCCAAATCTGTTCCATTACGAGTATGTACTTAGATGGGCTTTATATATAGTGCACCCTTCCAATGAAGGTACCTACGGTGACAAATGGCAGATAACCTCAGATGTTCAGAAAAGGCCTCTTTCAGAATATGATTTAGTGCATATCAAGCCACTAGTATCAATAATTTTTTACCATTTAAGCACTAGGTAGGAACCTCATATATTTGCTACCTGAATTATAGCAAAATAGCAATAATTACAGAAGCGAGGACTACCTAGTAACCACTGGCAAATGAACTTCTAAAAATTTAATTAGAACCATGTCAGTGTAGTAGTAATGGGAATACGATAAAGCTTAGCAATGAGCACAAAACAACCTTCTTCCTATAAAGCCAAGATTGCAATATTACACACACTTATTCCACCTCATTTGTAAAATTAACAGTCTCTCTCAGACAATTAAAAATCACGCTGAGTACTGAGCCACAGTAAATTACAAATATAATTAAGTAAATAATAAGAAAGCCCAAGTCCCTACTCAAATACACTGCCAGTTCAGCTAATCCAAGCACAGCAAATATTAATGCAATACTTCAATGTCTAGAGCTCAGTTCCTGATCTACAGTAATAATAACACATTAAGATTTTGTCTGTAGTCAGAGCAAACCGCTTATTTTCCCCCAGACAACTGAAGCACCAAGTTACCAATAATAAGCTGCTCGTATCTTCCATCATCCTGCTGGGGAAGGCGGGCAGAGAAGACAAACACTTTTAGCCTGATTGTATTTGCCACCAATTAGACGGACGTAGTCTTTTGGCTATACTCTAAACTGAAAAGAAGCCAACCTGAAGCTATTTAATGATAAAGGATTAAAATCAGTGCTGATTAAAGGGCTCTGCAAAGTGTGAGTTTTAATTATGCTACTTTAGGAAGTCACTAGACAATCACTAGATGTCACATTCCCTTGTTTCTGCATCCAGAGAGGAAACAATTCATACCTTGAGAAAACCTTCTGATTTCAGTAGCTAGCACAGCAATGGGAAAAAGTTTACAATTCTGAGTCACTGATAACTTCAGATAAGTACCATTCAAGAAAGGAAACGTCTAAAATTATGCTGACAGCACATGTCACTTGCCAACAATGCACACTTAGTGCTGATATGCACTGGTATCTGTTTACAAGCTCACAGAGAAAGGATTAAATACTATTTAATTCATTCAAACTTAGGTATGTATTTATACCACTATATAGCACCGTGTGAATGACAGACATTTCACTGTCTCACAGTAGTTGTATTATTCTCAGCCCAACCTCATAAATATTAATTACTTTTGAAACTGAGTTATAAGTCTGCACATGACATAAAGGAAAGATCCCAAGCATAGGCTTTCTTTCCCTCAGCACCAATCCACAGGAGGAATACAATATTCTCTATGAAATGTTCCTGCCTCAGCACCAGTGGGAAGTTCTGCAGTCTCTTCTAGTTGGAGGTAAATGGCTTTAATTTGCTGTCCACTGTAAGTGAAAGAATCAGTTATATAAAGCCTTAATATTTCCCAATCTGTTTTGCAATACGGAGAGGCTTCCACAGCTCCTCACTCAAGCTTCTCACCTCACTTCCCTACTGCGAGGTTTTTCATGGTATGTGCATGAAGGACTTGGGTCAAAAGCAGTCAGAAAACTAAAACTGAGGCAAATTTTTTAAAAGTCATAAATCCATAATTTTCTGTATCCACCACGACCCTGAGAAGTCTATGTATTTTAAACAGGAATAGTTACAAACTACAAAACTAACAACTGTCCTAAAGGGATGAGAGAAAGCAAAAAATCTGAGTGCAGCAAGTGAGAGAGCAAGGAAAGAAAGGCCACATGCAACACCTATAGTCATGCTCTCTCCCAACAGCTGGTGCATTACTCCTGTTGTAACTCCTCGCCCTGCCTCGCTCGTGTCT